ATGCGTAACGTCTGTTCAGGATTTTCTGTCTCTACGCCTACCACAGCTATGAAGTTGAAATTTTGGCAACATGGTCTGCTTCTATGGGTGGGTTCCTTACGTGTAAAGCGAACAATTACTTTCCCCTAATGCGTACGTACGCTTATTTTGGCGGCGAAACGACTGCCGGAGCCAGACGAACTGTATGGTTGGAAATGTACGGAGAGTTTTTTTGTCCTTTTACGACCCAAAGAATTCAAATTCAGTCCTCGCTTTTTTTACAGGCATAGCCTTTACATCCTAGGTCTAAATTACATACAAATCAAACTTCAAGTTGGCAAAATGCCAACACGAGTCTAATTAAGAAGCAGTAATTTTGCGACGACTGCTTACTACTTGCATGCTCATGAAAGTAAATTGAGCTTTCGTCTGTTTACGTGTTACTGCCATATGAAATTTAATGCAAACAATTTTGTAACTCTGGAACTAAAGCAGTTAAAGTGCCAAATTCCTTTCACATAAAAACAAGTTTCACGCTCTATAATTTTTATTTGCGGAGACGCGCAGTTTGACGTAGAAGATTTTGCGACTTCTTAATCTAGACAGCTAAATTGCTGAAATTCTCCGTGTATGCCCTCCGATTATGTTTACGAAAGTCCTCTTGAAAGCTTTTCCCACTTCCCACCACACCTTACTTGCGAATGCATGCAATTTGATGCTGGCCATCTTGCAAATCCATAGGCACAGCAGCTAGAATGTTTGTGCGCATAGTTCGTGATCTTGTTTGGATAAGTGTGTGTGAAAATAGCTTTAGCGCTTTTTCATCCGCGTGCAGTACAGTTTTTTCCTGACAATTTTTGTGTGGTGGCCTAACAACATGGAAACAAAACCGATAATAACACCGAATTTCACGAATATTTCTAGTTAAATGTGTAGAAAACCTGCTGCGCGCTGATATAGGTTCTTTGAAAAGGCCTAAATTTTTAACTTTTTCCACTCACTATAGATCGGTTCTAGTCGTTCGATGATTGACATTTTACATATTTTATGCTTAATAGCTGCTAATTTATTTACTTTTCGTGTACTACTGGACAAGTGAAAAAGTTTTTGTTGGAATGCATTTTCAACATTGCTTGAAATAGTCTTCCTGCTGACTCTCTCAAAAATATCCGATCCACTCCCTCTTCCTTGCCCTCCATACTCCTTCTTTCCCTTGCAGTTTAAGAAATCGTGGCTATAGCTGTGTGTTGTATTCATCTTTTGAAATTTTGCTGAGCGCGAAATTTTCTATGGCAGAATTTGTTCACTTGAAAATTCTGCTGTTTTTGAACTTAGCTCTGCTTGACGAAAATCAGAGCGGCATTGAACTTGTAGAGAATGATGATTCGGTACATGCTGTGGAAAAAATGCAAGAGCTATTATTATCCAAATGCGTTTCTTTGGGACATTTTTGACTATGTTTTTGAAGAAATTGCCACTTGTAGTCTGGAGAAAGAATAAGTGGAGGATTTGTCCGCCATCTCGAATTCGACGTTTCATTGTTCGTTTGATTGCTTAATGCAGAAAGCTTGAATTTTTCATTGCTTTTGTTATGTATTTGTTTGCGGGTCAGTGCGCTTGCCGTTTTGTGTGTTTACGAATTTCAAGCAGCGATTTAATGCCAAACCTTCTTCCGTTAAACAGACTATTCATATATCTGTATTTTGTCATTTCGCTTGCAAATGCCAGCGCACTATTTTGAGAATTCATTTTGTGGTTAAAATGATTGGAATTTGCTAAACGTTTCAAAACATGCACACATGCATGCGTACACACATATCCACATATACTGTGTTTCTCATTTTCTTGCATTGTTGATTTTTTTTTTTTCGATTTATTTCGCCAGAGATTTCAGCCATTGCATTGTAGAGACAATAGGACCAAGCGAAACACATGTACAAGTTTCGCTGGAAGGATTTCGAGAAATCTGCTGTTCAGACTTTAAGATGCTCCGAAATTTTCTTGGGTAAGGCTGTCAATCAACTCATAGGAAGGAGTAATCTCGAAAATGATATTTTGATGTGCTGCTTAGACAATCATTGTTCGGCGTTTGGAAAACTCAGAACTGTGTTCGGTTTTTTGCAAACTTTCTAGTCTTGACGGTTTTCTTGCGTCAACGTTTCTACTACTGCCAGCAGTCAGCTCGATTTCATCTCATTTGCCAGTCAGTCCTTGGAAGCTTGTGTTCAGTTATCAAGCCAGTCTGCTCTTTGAATTTTTCATTGCTCAGTTTTTATTTCCGTTTCAGCGCCTCTTTCTGTGCCTCCCTGCGTAAATGATGAAATGCAAAAAGGATGTCGTCAATTGGCTGCTATTTGAGAGGCGTAAAACCAGTTCTTACCCAGGTTTGCGCGGATGATAATTTCAAACTGGGAGGGTTGCACACGTAGTGGGCACATGTTCCCAAAGTTTCAGCCTTCTAGTTTTTCTGGTTTACGGGTTGAAAGTGGTGAAAAAAGTGCGAGCACGCAGAAGCAGACAGATACACACAGTCTCTTGTCAATATGCGTTTTTGCATTTACATATACGCATAAACACATAAAAACTCAGCTTTAGTGCACGTCTTACTCACCGACAAGTCAGAGACATTACCAACGGAAAGTGTTTTCAGGAACCAGTTAAGCTTCATAAGGACGCAACCTGCTGTGTGCAGTTTCAAAATCATTAAGTTAGCATGCGGATACATCAAATATTAGGTCGCAAAATTGTTGGCGTACTTTCAACTCAAGAACCAAATCGAGCAGAAAGATGTATTTTCGTGTCGATTTTTGTTTCAGTATACAAACTCGCAGGCTGTAAAATGGGTATGGAAGAAATGAAGAACAAGAACATGCCCAATATGAATGCATATGTCAAACCGCGAGGTAGTAAATGTTATTAGTGTTCCTGTTGCTACAAAAAATCGCACAGGAACACGTTTAGTCCAAAAGTTTTGGTACAGGAAGCTATTCGTTACGCATTTTTGCGGTGCAGCGCTATAGCAGCGTTTCTGCTACAGCCAGCAAAAAAGCATATTGTTGAGAGGTTGTCTGTGTGTGCACGTGTATGTGTGTGTGTGTGTTCAGAAGCGAGTGAATTTTGTCGTTCATTTTCATCTCAGCGACGAGAAGGCTGGGAGGCTGAAATTTTCGGTATATGTTCCTACTTCGTCTGTCTCCTTCACTTTTTAAGGTCTTCCCCCACACGCGCCTTGACTCCGCGTACGGTCTTTCGAAAAAAATACGCGAATTTCACTGACGGGAGACGATTCTGCGAATTAGGTAAGGTACAAAGCTCGAACATTGCAAAGATATTCTTTGTACATGTGCAATCCAAAGATTTCAAACTCAGCTGTTGCGCACGCTCGTGCAGCGCGTGTGATCACGTCAATGTTTTGCAACTTGGTACTGTGCTAGCTCGAAAACTTGCTGGAAAACAGTGGCTGAAATTTTGTCAGCAT